CAGCCAATCTGTGCCCCCAGTGCCTAACTTGTTCTACTTCTTTCTGTCATAGACCCTTTACTTGCAGCCACCCTAACAGGCAGAGCATCTGTACTGTCACCATCCACATTTGCTTCTGACTTGGAACATATGGATACTGCCCCTCCTTCCAGGGCCATCATCTTTCTCTCCTCCAGTCTCAACGCCAACCATGACCCAACTGACAGTGCAATTCCTGGGCCTGAGAACATAGCACCCAATGCCAACAATGCCTTGGCCCAACCTTACATGGTTTAAGGACCATGGGAAACTACACCATTCTTCAAATCCAGGAGCCACACCTCACCCCACATGTGGTCCTCAAGTGGGCAGCAAAATGCCAGCTCTTTCTTTTTAGAAAACCCAGTGGCCACAGCACCAGTGATCAACCTACCCTCTCCTGAAGCCCAACCACCCCACCATCTAGTGGCAGCACAGTGCAGCCAGGACTTGGGAAAGACCTTGACCCTTGTCCACAAATGACATGGCAGCAACCAATCAACTGACTTCTGCCAAGGTTACTGGTAGTTTGTACAGTGGCACAGCCAGTACTTGTGGTGCTAGATGTGGAACCAGGATGAACAACTCTGGAGACAGTACTCTGATCTTTGCCTGTACCACTCCTGGCTCAGTAGTATTCATGAGACCTGCCGATTCCATGAGTGGATGGAACTCTGGATTTGGCAGGCTCCAGGGACCAGTTCCAGGTCTAGAGCCCAGTGAAAATATCTTTGGATTGAAGACACCCTTTGTGGGGAATAGAAGAGAAATGCTCAATCACTACCACCTTTCCTGGCCTGGCCACCAACCTGGCAGATCTGAGCTCTGGGCTGGATTTTCTACCTTGGACCTACCTGATGCCCACTACACCTTCCCAGTGCTCACTTTCTCCTACCAGCTTGTTTTGATGACCATTATATTTCTCCTATTGTACACATAAAAGCTGGCTGTTTTAAACATAAATACAAAAATATGAGATGTATTTATATTGTGACAATGTAAAAATGGAACCATAACATAAAATATAAAAGTATCTAATACAAAGCTAACAACACTTATACAATGGAAAAATAGCAACACTGAAACAAAACAAAAGGAAAGACTCATATTGCAAAAATACAAACTACTGAAATTTAAAATCTATACAAGTGAAAAGCATGTTCCTGGGTTGGGTGTTTCAATATTGTTAAGATGTCCATTCTTTTGAATTTAATGTATGTATTTGATGTAATACTAACTAAAATCATTTTTGGCAGTGGGATACTTGAAAAATGTCATTCAAAACTGGATACAAAAATGTCAGTGACCTAGAAGGGCAGTGACAATTTTGAACAAGAAGGAAAAAAAAAGAAAGCACATACTACCAGGTTATATTAAGAACATCTGATACTGCTGCAGTAATAAACAGAACAACGGGAGAGATTACTCTAGAAGACCTACATATGTACGAGCCTTTGATTTAGTATAAATGTTTCACTACAATTAAGGTTAAGAGGGAAGACAATATTTTCATTGAAAGATGTTGAATGAATTAAATTTATATAAAATACCAATTTTGATTCTTAACTCAAATGACACAAAATTTTAACATAAAAGTAAAAACAGTAGATATGTACATAGAAAAAAACACAGAAAAATCTTTACTACCTTGAGTTAAGAATAGATTTCTTAAACTGGAGTACTGAAGAGTTTTTAAAAAGAAAAATTATTTTTCAAAATTAACAACTGCACTTCTGTTCAAAGGGCACTGTTTAGAGAGTAAAAAAACAAGCCACAGGTGAGATAATTCTATTTGCAATACAACCATCTAAAGATTCAACATCTCTGAATCCAACAAACAAAAAGCCAGAGTTTCCAATAAAATTCTCGGACAAGTATTCTCAAAAGAGGATACAAAAAAGCCCATAAGCATTTAAAAGAGAGCCCAACAACATTAGTTACTTAAGAGATGCAAATCAGACCCATAATGAGACACCAACAGACACCGCTGTAATACCACCCAGGTGACCCTGCTAAAGGCTTGGTCCCAAGTGGTGTTACTGGGAGGTGGTGGGACCTTTGGGAAGTTCTTAGGTCACCAGGTACGTGTTCATGGAAGGGACCATGGACTCCTTTTTTCTCTTTTCCCTGATTCATGATGTGAGTTTGCTCCATCATAGATTCCCACGATAGTGTGTGCCTTGCCATGCAGCCAAATCAACAAGGCCAATTGATCACTGACTCAGGCCTCCAATCTTTGGGCCCAAATCAATCTTTTCTCTATGTAAGTCCATTATCTCAGGTATTTTTTTACATAGCAACAGGAAGCGATTAGCACTGTGACTGTCACTTTAAAAACACTATTAAGGGGTTTCCCGGAAGGAGGGCTTCCGGCGCACAGGGAGCTGCGGGCGGGGAGCGCCAGCCTTCTGGCTGGCTAGCTTCCTGCCTGCTGGCTCCCAGAGGGTGGGCCATGCGGCGGCGAGTGCTATTGTGTGCCGGCCCTTAGGCTGGCCGCCACTGCCACCGCTCAATTGAGATCTATCATGACACAGAGAAACAGTGACACAATTGGCCCGCCATGCACCCACAGCAGTTGCCCACCCACGGATGAGTGTGAGTCATTGAAACTTTGAACAACCCCTGGGAATGCATGCCATACAATGGGCCACTCTTGCTCCTGCCATTGGGAACCAGAAAGGTCCAGAGTCAGCGGAGGAGCAGCTGCTGAACAAGGACTCAGAGAACATGAGAATGCAGACCAAGCCCACGGAGTCAGAGGTCTTGTGGACTGGGGTCCCCAGAGCCGCTCGGAAGCTGTAAACCAGGAGGACCTTGCACAATACTTGCAGAGACTCATTGGAAGCCATTCTTCCCCTGACTGTACAGGCTGTGGTGGAGCTCTGAAGAAGTCTGCAGCAGGATTCCTGCTGACTGTGCTGACAGTTGGGGAGAGGACACTAACTGGTTGTGGGGTCCCAAAGCAATGGGAAGCTGGAGAGAAAAAGCTACAAAGAATGGCTTTCACCCCAGATAGCTCACTTGAGATGTTAGTAAGAATTGCCTCCTCAGTATTCTATAGCCATGATGAGGAGGAGACCAAGGAGAGAAAACAAAGAGACTGAGAAAAAGCAGCTGCTTTTGCTGCACCACTAAGAGAAACAGATCCCAGGTCTGATTCCTGGGGCTCCAAGAAGAACTCAACAACTGCATTCATCTGCTACCACTGTTAAAAGCCAGGCCACCTCAAGAGGAACTGCCCTAAGAGGCCCCATGGGCCATGCCCTGGATGCAAAGGAGACCACTGGAGATCAGTCTGCCCTCTGAGGTGGAGGCCCCAGAGCTCAGACCCATGCTACCAGTTAGTCCAACAGGAATGAGAGGGCTTGGGGCATGGTCTGCCTTCTCCCTCTGGCCAGACCGTCATCTCCATCAAGGAGCCCTGGGTAATCATGACTATGGAGGAACAAGAAAACAGCCTGTTGCTAGACACAGGTGCAAGTCTCTCGGTCCTTCTTTTCAATCCTGGCCTTCCTTCCAGCCGTCATACCTCAGTGAAAGGAGTCACTGGTGAGGAGGTAATATGCTGTTTTTGACAAGCCTTAGGCTGTAACTCCTTAATAGGTCCCTCTTGCATATCTCTGTCTTCCTGAGAAACCACTCTGAAGATACCACCATGTATTACAGCAGCCATTGATATTTTCCTACTAATCTATCCATAACTGTGTAAAGTTTGTAATGTTCCTATTTCATAAATGGATGTATGTTTATTATTATGTGTTTCCTACAACAACCATTGAGAATAGTTAATGATTTTTCAATAGGTCACTCATGTATAGCTCTATTTATTTTCTTTAGAAGCCACTTTGAAGATACCAAAGTATAGTACAACAACTCTTGATAATCTCCTATCTCTTTTGTCTGTAACTCACTATTATTTGTCTATTTGTTTTCCTGAGAAACTATTTTGTAGACAATAATATGTAAAATGATAACCATTGATAATTTCCTACCATTTTGTCTGTAATTTGCTAAGTCTGCCCTATTATTATGTTATCCTTCTTTTATTCTTTAAAAAAAAAAAAAAACACTATTAAAAGTGCTCAAGTCAAGGTGCCCTATGTCATCCTCATCACTAACCACAATGAATACTTGGTTATTATGTCATTTGAAGCTGCTGTTACTCCCCTTGAGATGTTTTGCTGCTAAGGCAGGGTTGAGAGGCAAGGGTAGTATTTCAGGGTCTGACACTCAAACTTTTCAGTTGAAAAGTGGTATATTAACTATATTCAAGGACAAATCTCAATAAAAATTCAATCAGATATGGTCACTTTTAACCAGAGTGAAATTATTCACTTATAATGAGAAACATCCATCCAATAACCCCATCCTAGTATTAAGTACTTTTCCTGGCATTGTCAGAGAAGATGTTTGGTCTTCTTTCTTTACCACTGAATGAAGGGTGGCCATCATGTCTTGATTTTTTTGGCTTTCAGGTTTGTGGGCCTTCCAACATCAGGGTCATAGCCTCTGGGTTCTCATTTTGACTCCAGACCTCTCTAGTCATTCCCACAACTTCCAGGCCTTGTGGACTTGGAAGTTCTTGTCTATTTCCTCTCTCTCCACTTCATCATCTAACGTTCTGAGGCTATACCCATCTGACAGCACACCTCCTTCTGACTTTTCCTTTAGTACCATGTTGAAAGTGAGAAGTACTTTTGAAGCTTGTGATCTTCTGGTCATAAACTTGGACATAAATTCCACATATTATAGATATATATTTCATCTGGAACTTCCATCTCCACTTGCAGATCAAACACAGGTTGGGAGGAATGAGGTGCTGAATAATTTGTTTGGGATCTATGCAGTAGCAGAACCAGTTCCCATACCTTGAGAACCATGTATACATTTTCTAGACCAATGTATACCCAGTACCTAAAGTCAGTCCTGAAAAATGGTAGGTGTTCAATAAATTAGATTCACACAAGAAAGATTTTTTTCCTTTTTATGTAAATATTACATGTACATTGTAAAGAAAAAGCACAAAAAGTCCAACAATATCTGATCATCTACCATCACTAACTTTTTGGAGAACATCTTTTCATTCATCTCTCTGAAATGTTCACATAAATACATAATATTACATATAGAGTTTTATACCATACATGCTACATTTACATTTTTCTATTTTAAAGTTTCTTCTAACCTCATGTTTTTTTTCCACTCTTCTGAAGGTAACCAGTATTGACAGCCTGGTATACATTTTTTCATGCCTGTCTTCATGCACATCTAATCACACAAACACACATATACATAATAAACATAACGCTTTAACACAAATGAAACTATATATATACACATCTGTTACAAAGCAATAATTTATCAAGCTACTTTTAAAAAACCTTTAAGTCAATTAGTATGATATAACTGATTTTGAAAATTCTCAGGCTGTTCTAAAATATTGCTGTAACACAATTTATCCAAGCATTTCCCTATTGATTGAGACTGCCTTTGTTTCCATTTGGGAATTCTTTTTCCCACATATAAAAAGAATAATCTAACAAATATCCTTATTTATCTGTATGCTTTTGCATTGACGATGCTTTTATTTTACGACATTTTTATGTCATATAAAATAAAAACATGTTATTCTAACTTAAATGCTGGGTTATAAAATAAAAACATGTTACTCTAACTTAAATGCTGGGTCAAACAGCATTTAAGATAATATGCGGTGCTGGATTACTGGTAGACAAATGAGTTACACAATCTTTAAGTTTAAAATACATGGTTTACCAAACCCCATAGTAAGGAAGGGATTAATTTCTTTCAATCCACATGAAATGAAAGTTTGATGTCATTAATTTAAATCTGCATCTCCCTGAGTAATATTTAGGTTTAAATTTTTGAATAGGTTAATAGCCATTTAGAGTAGCTCTTCTGTGAACAGCCATTCAACCCAGATGGATTAAAGACCTAAAGTAAAAAATAACCAAAATTTTCATAACAAATACATATCTTAATCCTAGAGATTAAGGATATGCCTTTTAATTAAAAAAGTAAATCAAGAACCTAAAAAGATATATTTTAGTATAAAAATTTAAATGTTGTGACTAATATATAAAAAGTGTAGACAGGCTAGATTAAGGAAAAAAATTTGTTATATACATGATAAAGGTCTGATGTCAAAAAAAATAAAAGCACCTCCATATTTATAAGAAAAAGCTGACAAAGAAAAAATTCACAAATATATGGATAGACAATTTTAGATAATATGTTCAATGAGCAAAGTATGACATCCAGATGAAGGTTTTCATTTGTGGATTATATTTCTTTAGTGTGAATTATCCTGTAATTTCAAAATATAAGTAAATGCTTTTCCAAATTCATTATATTTATAGTGTCTCTTAAATGCATAATTTCCAGTGAATTTTTACTGAAGATTTTCCTATATTCATAAAACTAAGCTTATAGGAGTCCTATGCAGTTGATACCTGGGTAAATGACTTACTATTCTCTACACTAACTGAGTGTCTCTCTGGTGTGTTCTTTGATGTACAGTAAGGCTTGAGCCACTCCTGAAGGCTTTTCCACATTCATTACATTTATAGGGTTTTTCTCCAGTATGCATTCTCAGGTGTACAGTGAAGTCTGAATTAGTTCTGAAGGCTTTTCCACATTTTTCACATTTATAGGGTCTCTCTCCAGTATGGATTCTCTGATGTAGAGTCAGCTGTGATAGAGTAATACAACCTTTTCCACATTCCTTACAGGTATAGGGCTTTTCTCCAGTATGTGTTCTCCAATGCACAGCGAGATATGAACCTCGCCTGAAGGCTTTCCCACAGACATCACATTTATAGGGCTTTTCTCCACTATGAATTTTCTGATGTTCTGTGACATGCACCATCTGGCTAAATGCTTTCCCACACTCATTACATTTGAATGGTTTTTCTCCAGTATGTGTTCGCTGATGGGTATTGAAGCCAGAGTTACTTGTAAAAACCTTCCCACACTTATTACACTTGTAGGGTTTCTCTCCCGTGTGCCTTCTTTGATGCACAGTGAGCTGTGATGTATTAGTGAAAGCTTTTTCACATTCATTACATTTATACGGTTTTTCTCCAGTATGTGTTCGCTGATGCACAATAAGGTATGATTTAGTCCTAAAGGACTTCCCACAATCATAACATGTATAGGGTTTCACTCCAGTATGAATTTTCTGATGCTCCTTGAGATTTACCATTTTAGTGAATGCTTTTTCACAATCAGTGCATTTATAGGGCTTCTCCCCAGTATGGATCCTCTGATGTACAGTTAAGTGTGATTTTATTCTGAAGGATTCCCCACATTCATTACATGAATAAGGTTTCTCTTCAGTATGAATACGCTGATGTATGATTAGAGATGAAGAACGCATGAAGGCTTTTCCACATTCATTACATTTATAGGGTTTCTCTCCTGTATGCACTCTGTGGTGTACAATAAGGCACGAATAATTAATAAATGCTTTTCCACATTCATTACATTTATAAGGTTTCTCTCCTGTATGAATTCTCTGATGTTCTGTGAAGTTTGCTATACGGTTGAATGCTTTCCCACATTCATTACATTCATAGGGTTTTTCTCCCGTATGAGTTCTGATATGTACAATAAGGCTTGAATTACTTCTGTAGGCTTTTCCACATTCATTACATCTAAAGGGTTTCTCTCCAGTATGAATTCTCTGATGAACATTAAAAATTGTGGTATTCTTGAAAGATTTCCCACACTCAATGCATTGGTATGGTTTCTCTTCAGTATGGGTTTTCTGATGTACACTAAGATATGATTTATTCCTAAAAGCTTTCCCACAGTCATTACACTTGTAAGGTTTCTCACCATTGTGAGTTTCCTGATGTCTTGCAAGTTTTGATTTATCACTAAAAGCTTTCCCACATTTACTACACTTATAGGGTTTCTCTCCAGTTTGAATTCGCTGGTGCTGATTAAGGCGGGCACACTGACTAAAGGATTTTCCACAGACATTGCACTGATAAGGTTTCTCCTTAGTATGAATTCTCTGATGTACCATAAGTGATGAAGAAGCAATGAAGGCTTTTCCACATTCATTACATTTATAGGGTTTTTCTCCTGTGTGAATTTTTTGATGCTGACTAAGATATGAAGACTGGCTGAATGTTTTCCCACATTCATTACATTCATAAGGTTTTTCTTTAGTGTGAGTTCTCTGATGTTGAATGAGTAATGACCTATAACGAAAGGCCTTTTCACATGTATTACATTTATAGGGTTTTTCTTTATCATTAGCTGTTTTCCCCAAAGTAAGTTCTGAAATGTGCCTTAGAGTTGTGTTACCTTCTGTATTCTTATAAATTATCTTACTTAAATGAGTATCTGCAATCAAATCTAAACTCTCTGTGAAATGTTCTTCATGTATTCGGCATTTTCCATGGGACTCTTCTGTAATAATTCCTGGTTCTGAAAATAGAGCAGATTCAAATCCAAACCCTCTTTGCCTTGAGGGAGTTTTCTTATGTCTTACCATTCTTTGACTCAAATAACTCTCCTGTGTATTTTGCCATCCCAAAATTCTGTCACTCCACTCCCATAAACCTCCCATTGTGGAATCCCATAGACCATTTTTTCTGAGTTTCTCTACTCTAATTTCCTGTGATAAACCTTCAAAAATACCTTTTGTTAGCACAGCATTTTTGGTTGTAGGTTTGGTCTCCAAGTCTAGAGGGAAAAAAGAAAAATCAAATAACTCCTATTTCCTAAACTGAAGATATCTCAGTAAATATGATAATAAAAAATTAAAAATGAACACTTAGCTTTAACTGCCAACTGACCTTATTTTCTAGGTAGGATTAAGGGACAGTGGTTGAGCAAAGAACAAAAGTAGCAAATTTAATAAGATTTTTTCTTTTAAAAAAGTCATTCAAAACCTACTTTGCATTCTACACCTCTCTAATATTTTTTCTTTCTCCTTCACTTTAGAGCCAACTTCTACAGAATGCATTCTTTGTAAGTTGATACTTTTTCTTTCTTCTCATTTATTTCACAAATCATGTATCTGTTCCACACTTTCTTTATATTTGTTGTTATTCTTACTTTCTCAAAAATGTCCAGCACAGTAGTTCATTGGAAAAGTAGTTTATTCAGGTATGTTTATATACTCTTTTTTGGGCAGTACTGGGGATTAAACCCAGGGCTTCTGCACTGAAATAATCCCTAGCACGTTATTCTTTTATTTTGAGACAGCATCTTGCTAAGTGACTCAGATTGGGCTAGAACTTGCAATTCTTCTGCCTCAAATTCCCAGAGTGCTATGATTATAGCCATGCACCACTACTCCCACCTTTAATATATTTTTAAATAAAACTTTAAGGAGAAATACAATGATTTTCAAGAAGTGAATTGAACAATTTAGTTAAAAACTTGATTATGGGCAGTTACTGTCCTTTCAAATAGTGGTAATTCTCCTAAGGTTTGGCAATGATTTTATGGGTTCTTAGAACATTTCTGATGATTTATCAACAATTCATTAAAAAATTCTAGTGTGGATTATGGTCTTATGACTTTTTTGTATAGGCAATTTAAATGTTACATGAGTTTCAATGTTACATGAGTTTTAAAACTTCTAACTAATTTTCAGGTAATTATGTCTGAATATTTAAAAACAAACTGGGTCAAAACCTTTTGTAGTAGAATGATTTTTATGATGTTTAACTTTTTTAAGAGCCAGATACGGTAGTGTATGCCTATAATCCCACCATATAAGAGGACGAGGTAGGAGGACTGCCATGAGTTCCAGGCCAGCCTGGGCTACATAAAGAAACCCTGTTTCAACAAACAAACAAACAAACAAACAAATGAAAGAAAAAAACTTGCATATAAGTAATAATAAATTATGTTATTACTTTTACAAAATTTAAATGAACTGTGTTAATTTTAATCTTGCTTTTCATGTATATTTCAATTATTTTAATTACTTTGAGCATAATTTTCATTGTCCTAAGACATTATATTGCCACTACCTGACAGAAAATTTTGCTGTCGGAATAAAAGCTAAAGAAAACACATCTGTAACATCAATTTGGGATGTAAGAACTAATTAATTTAAAATGTCAAAAGGAAACGCATTTAGAAAGCAAATAAATTTGGTATAAAATGCTATAAAATTCTAAAAGCTTAGGGTCCAGAAACATCATTATTATGTTAATTAGCAATTAGAAGTTTTCTTTAATAAATATACTGGCAGAGACTTCATTAATATATGTAAGCTAACTTCTCATCTTCCTTGAAAATAAAATATCACTTCCAAACAAGGAGAACAAAAACCAGAAAAATAATCTTTCATATATTAGAGAATTGCTCTTTTGTAATGTCAGACTAAGTAATCTAGACTAACATTATTACTGAGAACAATTAGAAGAGATGGACAAAATATAGAAACAAAGTCTCTTTGAAAGTATCTGAAAGTTACTAAGGCTTAAAGAATTACAAGAAGAATGAAACCCAAAAAAGAGATTCTGGTATTTGATGCTCTTTCTTCCTACAGATAAATCTTAATTGTCTAAGAAATGGCTGAGAGACTAAATATATAAACCAAACTTTTTTTTTTTTTTTTTTTTTTTGGTTTTTCTCCGGTACCGAGAACCAAACTCACGACCTTGCGCTTGCTAGGCAGGCGCTTTTGCCGCTGAGCTAAATCCCCAGCCCTAAACCAAACTTTCAATGGACTCCTGGCAAGACAGACATAGTAAATCTCTGGCTACCAAAGTGGAAGACCTTGGAACCTCTAGGGTTTGGATGGAACCTTAAGATGATATACCTAAGTACAGGATGATTAAGAAATACATCAACTTCCTCAAGAACCAAGTGGAAACTCTAGAACTGAAAACTAAATTAAGATCTCAAAGTTTGGGCTAACAGTACAGTAGATATTAGCTAGCATACACGAGAGTTAACAAAATAGGCCAGTGGAAAATATCCATATCAGGGGCTGGGGATTTAGCTCAGCGGCAAAGCGCCTGCCTGGCAAGCGCAAGGTCGTGAGTTCGGTTCCCGGTTCCGGAGAAAAACCAAAACCAA